TAGTTTTATCGCTCGGCTATAAGCGAGTTTGCGAGTACAACGGGCGATCATCGCGCCACTCGCACGCCGTGACAGTCTGAGAAAAAATGTCATTAGAAAGTCAAAAGTTGTAAAGACCTCTTAGAATACTTCAAACATTTTTTCCAGAAAGGTTTGGTAAGACACATTGTAGAGCAAACAAATATTTACGCAGGCCAGGAAAATAAACCAATGATGGTTACAGAAGATGAAATATATGTTATTTTGGGAGGTATGTTACTGTCCGGTTATGCCAAGTTACCACATGAAAGACTGTATTTCTCTAAAAATAACGACGTTCCAAAAAATCTTGCAGAAAGTATAAAATGTAATAGATTTGAATCGATACTTCAAAACTTACATTTGACTGATAACACAAATTTATCAGCTTCTTCTAATCTATATATATATGTTACCGGCCAAACCCGATTTTAGGACAAACTAGTTTTGCCTAGGCTAAACTAGTTCTTCCTATACGCGATAGGATTAACTGGTATAGCCTAGTCCAAACTAATTTGGCCTAAGCCAGATAGGATAAACCAGTTTAGCCTAGGCCAAACCAGTTGATCCTGATATAAATACTCACACTCTAGGATAAACTAGTACGGCCTAGTCTAAACCAATTTTGCAGAGTCGAAACTAATTGAACAAACATGTCAGGACTTGTACATGTCGCGTTATGTAAAAAGAACGTGGGAAGAAAGTGGAGGGAGTGTGTATGCTCATGGGTGCACTCGCACACATAAGTAATAGGCCTTTTGTTTTGTGAGATGCAGCTGCAACAAAAACTGTTTCAAAAACAGATGCCAATGATGGCAATGATACTCTACAATTCTAAGTGCCACCAAAGCACACCATGTAAAAATAAATAACAATTTTAATAATTGAAATATATTGCTTCTATTAATAAAAACACATATATTATAGATATTAACGGGATTGTTACCATGTAATTTCCCGTTAATATATATAATGTTAGTGACCATGAAAGTTTAAAATAATATAAAACACATATAATTGGTTACAGCATAATTGTTTGTATCACTAATTATCCATAACTTTAAACGATGAATCATTACCGTTTTAATAAAAAAAAACCAATTACGGAGTATTTTATTCAGTTTATCTATTTATTTTGACTTTCTAGGTATACTATAATGTTTAGACTAGGCCATACTAGTTTATCCTAGAGTATGCGTATTTATATCAGGATCAACTAGTTTGGCCTAGGCTAAACTGGTTTATCCTATCGGGCTTAGGAAAAATTAGTTTGGACTAGGCTATACCAGTTAATCCTATAGAGTATAGGAAGAAGTAGTTTAGCCTAGGCAAAACTAGTTTGTCCTGAAATCGGGTTTGGCCGGTAACATATATAACTCAAAGGTGACTGACTGACATAGTGATCTATCAACGCACAGCCCAAACCACTGGACGAATTGGGCTGAAATTTGGCATGCAGGTAGATGTTATGACGTAGGCATCCGCTAAGAAAGGATTTTGATCAATTCTACCCCCAAGGGGATAAAATAGGGAATGAAAGTTTGTCAATTTTAAACAAACCGGGCTGAGACTTTGCATGCAGGTAAAAGAAGAATCATAGATGACTGTCATTGTGTATAATACAAGCCTGAGACAAATCTGAAGCGAAGCGAGGGCGGGCCGCTAGTAGACTATAAGTTACGATCGCTGCTAGATAGTCCTTTCCGATAACATTACGGACTGGATGAGCATTATAGCGTCGACGACAGTATGATCCCATTCTACGGAAAACGTTACCTACGCCAAGCAGTTCAGTCAGAGGAAAGCCGATAAGATTTGGTTTTAAAAATTGGGATTTATATGCCAGTACCGGTTATATGGTGGCTTTTAATGTTTACACCGGAAAAAACTACAGAAAAGAAAGATTTTGGGTTAGGTGGGGATGTAGTTCTCAATCTTATAGAAATAGGTAATTTGCCAGCAAACAGTGGCATAAAAATATATTTTGACAACTTTTTTACGTCGATGTCGTTGATGAGACATTTGAGAGAGTTGGGATTTTTTGCGACTGGCACAATATGGGCCAACCGAGTTGAGAATTGTCCGTTAAAAGACATAAATCACTAACAATGGATTTAAAAAGTTGTGTGTACGAAATTACATTTTATTATTTTGTAACTTTATTTTAAAACATTTGTCTTTCTTAATAAAATCTTTCACGTTTATACTATTAGTAGAATGGACACCAAATTTTACAGAATAGGGTATTTGACAAGTTTTAGAAAACGATCTCACGTTATTGACTAATGTTTATGGAGTCCATAAAAAGTGGATATTCATCATTATGTTGTGTATTTCGGTAAAAAAAACAAATGTAAATATATTTTCAAGTTGCCGCGAAAAATGTATCTCTGGACAATATGGCGTCGCACTGGTGTGTGACGTCACCGGAAGTTTACTTGCGTGTGACGTCATTTTAGGCTCCACCAATCCCAAGCGTTTTGGGTCACGTGACAATAGACAAGAAAACTATTATCTTTATCGTGGTTTTTTAGCAAAATTATGAATATTTTTCCCGTAAAACTCCTGCCAATATTCATTCTAAATACAGATGCTAACAATTGGCACTTTATTTTTAATACTGTCAAATACCCTATTATGCATGAACCAAATCTACAGACTCAAATTGACAGATCAATTTTGTTATGGGTCATTAGCTTAGCGTTTTCCCCATTTTCGGATGAGTATTGCCATCTGCAAAATAAAGCATAGCCCAATCTAAAAAATACCTCACAAGAACAACACCACTTGCCAGCTGTGATTAAAAATCAGTTTTATTTAAAATATAAGTAATTATTTTATACTTAAAATTGTCTTAAAAACATAACAGGGAAGTACAAACATCATCAATAACAGGCGTTGACTATTCATATTTCAAATGATATAAAAAAATTCACCTCCATATTTATCTTACTTAATTATAAATCTAGCACCTACGTATATGTACTATTATAAAACTATATGTTACCTTAAGTTTATGACTAAATCACAGTCTTTTTGGGCTATTACACCTAGTTCTACTAAAACATTTATATCGAAAATAATTATTTCCGTTTAATAAAAAATACCAAAGGCGTTCAAAGAACTAAAAATTTTTTCAAGATATTTATACTTTTCACAGCGCATAAGAGTATAAACGGGGGGAATGAATTTTTGAAGTGAAACTTCTTTATCAGCGTTGGAAAAAAATTTACCGTCACATTTTTTCGGTTACGCGTCACGTTTTTTGGTTACGCGCCATCTTTTTTTTAAAAGAGCACTATTTAGCTCATCCGAACAATTGCTTCTTCTGTCAACTTTAAAAAAAAAAGTATCGACAGCAAATATTCGTGTTTCACACAAGGTAAGGTAAGGTAAGGTAAGGAAAAAAATAAGGCCATAAAGAAGTTTCACTTCTTACGTGTGTACACTAGTACACGCACACATTTTTTTTTTAAATACAATTGTTTCAAACAACTCCGGTATATTAAGCCGGAACTTAAGGCTTGCACAGCTGAACCGAAAGCCCCAGTTCAGCATTGTGTCAGCTTTCACTGACGCTGTATTTCACCTGGGTCCTTGTTCTGACATGCGGATGCCAAACACTATGATACGATTCCGCGATGCGTTATACGACGTCGTAAAATTCACGGTGCGTTAGTTAAACAGACATGACACCGCAGTAAAACGAAGTATGAATTCTAAAATGCGTAAATGACGTAAATGACGTCAGTTGCTATTCCATCTGGAGGTTTACTCTGATTCAACGAAAAACGAAATTTCACACGTTTCTTGTTCTGTTTCTTATTCGTATCTAATTATAATAAAATACGTTAAATAAAACTAGTTTTAACCGGTTTATGTATAAACTTTATTTATTCATTGACGTTTCGCAGCCTTTTCAGGTCTGCATCGTCAGAATAATGTTTTTTTTATTCACTTTGTCGATAAAAATAATATATAATAAAAAAAAACATTCTGACAATGCAGGCCTGAAAAGGCTGCGAAACGTCAATCTAATATATAAAATTCTCGTGTCGCGGTGTTTGTGGTCAAAGTCCTCCGACGGCTTTCCCGATTCTCATGAAATAGGTAGGTAGGTCTGAGAATCGGACAACATCTATTTTTCATCCCCCTAAATGTTAAGGGTAATCCACCCCTAAATTTTTTTTTTCAATTTTAGATATTTTTTTTTTTATTTTTTTATGATACAGCATTAGTAAATACATATAACCCGGAATTTTGAACCCCTTACAATCAACCCCTATTTTTTATGGCGGTACGAAGTTCGCTGGGACAGCTAGTAAATAAATAAAGTTCGTGCATTAACCCGTTAAAACTAGTTTTATTTAATGAGTGATGTGCGTGCAAAACCTAAGAAACAAATATAATATACATTCCTGAAAATATCAATCTATTGAAAGTATAACCTCAAATTGACGAATGAAATTTCGTTTCAATTTCGTTAACGAAAGTTCGTTTAGGAGAAAGACAGTAGACCCCCTGTTATATTAAAAGAACTGGGTGTAATAGAATTGTCTTGCTTCGAGGAATGCTTATTCTAGCTAATTACATATTCATTCTAAGCATTGAACTGCTTTCGAGTAAAAATTCCTTCATCATTATTGAAGTGAAACTTCTTTATCGTTGGAAAAAAAATTACCGTCACATTTTTATTCGGTTACGCGTCACGTTTTTTGGTTACGCGTCACGTTTTTTGGTTACGCGCCATCTTTTCTTTAAAAGAGCACTATTTACCTCATCCGAACAATTGCTTCTTCTGTCAACTTTAAAAAAAAAGTATCGACAGTAAATATTAGTGTTTCACACAAGGTAAGGTAAGGTAAGGTAAGGTAAGGTAAGGTAAGGTAAGGTAAGGTAAGGTAAGGTAAGGTAAGGTAAGGTAAGGTAAGGTAAGGTAAGGTAAGGTAAGGTAAGGTAAGGTAAGGTAAGGTAAGGTAAGGTAAGGTAAGGTAAGGTAAGGTAAGGTAAGGTAAGGTAAGGTGTAGTTATACCCCTTTAGTGGGTGAGTTTTTGAAAAATCTTAGCGCACGCCTATATATATATTTCTGGAAAGTTGCATGTAGATCATTTTTCGAAAAAAATAAGGCCATAAAGAAGTTTCACTTCTTACGTGTGTACACTAGTACACGCACACATTTTTTTTAATCAGAATCTCGTTTATATTCATAATTGATATCGTCCAGCAACTCATCATCGCTGTCAGAATCCCTATCCTTATCGTGAGTACTCTTCACTATTTCAGCTAGCTGATTCACAATCTCCTCTTCTTCATCGGAAGACGTGTCTATGCTATCGACGTCATAGACAATCCATTTCTTAAGACTGCCATCTTTGGTCAGCGTCAACCAATTCTTTTTCATAATCTTATTCAGTTTCACCAGTATGTACTGTCCTTTGTTGCTATGCACCGCAGTTTTCTTATCAATAACACCGTACAATTCAATTTGGAAACCGTAATTCGTGTCGTTCAAATAAGTGGAGAATTTCAAAGATCTCTCTTTGATCACTAGATTGTAATCATCGGCGCCTATAAGTTGTATCTTTATCGACACAGTACTTTTGTTCTGACGCCAAACTAATTTCGGTTTCCTCAATTCGTCTGCTTCTGTGACATTTGGAGTTCGGTTTTGCGTTTTCGTAAATCTCTCAGTTGCTTGTGAGCTCTCTGCTGAGGACAGGTCGTCAGAATCTAAAGTGCTGGATGTAATATTGGGATCGTTACGTTTATTGAAATTGCTTGTGGCCGGTGTAACTAAATTTGCTTTTTGTACCGGAGTATTTTTAATAGCCGGAATGTTAGCCAAATTTTTGGGAAGATTGTCGATTGTCTCTGCTACAGTAGCAAGTTTACTTTCTGCAGTGTTTGTAGTTTTGAATATAGCAGTAGCCAATTCATTGATGTTCTCTATTTCCCATTTATCCGATGCCTCCGATTCATTATCAGAATTTACCAGCGGCATTGATCTGATTGGTTCCTTTATAAATATGTTATTACTATCTGATGCCACATTGGAAGTGTCTCTTGGAGTATTGACTGGTACTGAAGTTGGATAATTATCGAATTGGTCTTTTTTTATGGGAACTTCATCGTTATCAGAAGAACTTTCCGTATTGTTGTATGGTTTATTTATTTTTATTTCATTGAAAAAGTGCACTTCGTCTTCTTTCGCTTGCGCCAAATTAAGTTCTATCAGCAACTGATTGATCAGAACATCTTGTTCTGCCGTCGTGTCAATTAGAACTACACCATATTTGTGGCCGTTCGTATAGTTGGCTTTTCCCTTATTGAAATATTTCACGTACAGTTGTTTGATGTCCCCATTCTTGCCCTGGAAGCAATTACATGTGAACCAATCGGTTCCATATTCTGTCCAGTTTTCTCCTGCCGGTTCCACGCCAACCAGACTACACTCGATAGCCTGGAATGGCATTACGGCCACAAGTTTATCCGGTATTTCAAGTAAATCTTTCAACATTACTACTCGCCAATCGCCATGATCGACGAAGAAGCATCTGACTTTTTCATTATCCAGGATATTATCAATTCTGGCACGCTCATACGTAGCATCATCAGGAAATTTAGCAAGAAGTATATCACCTATTTGGACATCCGCTACTGAAGAAGGCTTATCTTTAACGTATTTATCGATCTCTTGCAATAGCAACTTCATGCAAGCTTCGAATTTTGTTAGGCGAACGAAAAATGTCCCAGGACTTTCCGCTGAACAGAAGAATACTAGTGAAAAGTCGTTTTTCTCCAAATGTGCCCACTGAGGTTTCGGGGGCGACTTTCTTAGTTTTGTCATTTCAGTAGCTTCTACGATCATTTCCTTTTCACCGCAATCGTAATCTTTGCAAAGTGCGTTCAATTTCACTAAATGGTTTGGATTGTGCATAGCGTGTGTCTCCAATAGTTCTTTCTTAAGGTTGTAACGCACGACTGTTTCGTTTAAAGAGGTAAGTTCCTGACACGCGTCTAAAGTGTCGACAAATACGCAGTTTCCAATAGTCATTACCACTTGTCCTCTCAAATATAACTCTTCGTCTTGATCAGTGATTTTCTTCAACTGATCCTTGGCGAGATCCGAAAAGGTGACGTCGTTATCTTTCGGACGCATGTTGACCAGCCTGACTTGCACAATGTGTGTTTCGATGCTCTTCAAATCATTAGGCAAGTAGTACAGATATATATCGCGCGCTCTTTCTAATCTCTCCTCGTCCAGTAATCTTATCAAAACGCTATTCGGTGTGCCATTGTTGTAATAGTTGAGGATCTTCAAGACCTGACATCTAGCAAAGAAGTTTTGCTTCACGGATACTGCGCAAACGTCACCCACTTTGGGCGTTCCGTGCAATTTCCTGTTGCACTCTTTACTAAAGTACATTCCCATTTTAAGATGCAACATGCTGAACGTTTGTGGATATTTTGTCATCTTGCCTTTTGTAGAGTTCGATAGGAGTCGTGCCGAGTAGTGTACAGCAGTGTGATAATGAAGTATTTTAAATGTGACAACACCGCCGCTTGGCATCCAGTCTTTAGGCTTATCGTGTTCGTTGAAAACCCCATGACGCTCGAGGCAATTCCAGAAATCGGGACACTCTCCCAACGTCAACAAACTGTCACATATTGGCACAAGGTTTTCACCTTTGACAACATCTTTCTCTTGCAATATTTTCTCGCTTATTGCCTCTAAGAATTCGGGCACTTTATCAGTACATCTTTTGATGAAATTCAGAATTTTCGGCAACTGTTCCGCGTTGCTATCTTCTAACAACACTTTAATTTTAACATTTTGCTGCTCCTCTTTAAATATCGAAGAGTAATTGTCGTTGAGAACGGAGAACCTTTTACAGAACATAGAAAACAAGTGAGGCAAGGAGTAATGATGCAAAAAATTTGCGTCAGTGACGTTTAAATGTGTCAAGTTGCCATCGCAACATATCAGAATAGGGCCGAGCACAGGCTCCTCATACTCCACCCAAGACTTGCTCAAATTGTACAACTCCTCGACGGTCATAGTGCTATTACAAGAGAAAACTATATATTTCTGATCGAGCAACACTTTAGTCAATTCCCCCACCTCATCGTCCGAGCGGCAGACGATAACACTTTTTTTACTCCTATCTATAGTTTTAAGGAAATCCAAAACATGTTTCACTTTATTTTCTTTCTTAACGAAGTCCACGACAGTATTAGTTTTGGAATACAGAACACATTCTTGGAACGCACCGATGCAAATTACCGAATTGGGCGCTTTTCTAGCTAAAGGTGCCATGAAGTCGCACCACACTCGTGAAGCCGCGATAAATTGCACTTTCAACTCTTTATTTACGCGATTCTTGTACATCTCTTTGATCTTCGCCAGGAAAAATTTGATCTCATTAGCGTAGACCTCTGATAATCTTTCACAGTCGTCCAGAACGCATGTCGAAAGGCGGCGTAGATCTACGCCAAAATCCACGATTTGCAACAACCTGACTAACACAGAAGGTGTACATATAAATAAGTCGCAACCGTTTAGCAGTGACGTCGTCATATGTAGTTCGTCCATTCCAGCAAAGCAAGACAGAATTCTCTTCTCCACCCCTAAAAACATTCTAGCTAACTTTTCAACTTCCGTAACCGACTGAGCTGTGGCACATACTATTATGCACGTAGGTCCAGCGCCACTCATCCCATCCGCATTAAAATCAGTCACTAGCTGACAAACTGCTGGTAAATACCCAAAAGTCTTACCACTCCTCAAAGGACTGACCAGAAACGTGCTGAAACCGCGCAAAATCGCGGGCCAAGATATCATTTGCAACATCATAGGATGCGTTACAGAAAGGTTTTTAAGAACAATATGTATGTGAGTATTGAAATTGACATCTCGCATATTGGAACACGGCTCTATTCGTTTATCCATCTTCGAATGGACCATTAGCACCGGAGCTATTAACTTATCGACAAACACTGATATGCTATCGTCTACGTTCTTGAAAGGATTTACGTTGTTTTTGTATTCGCGGACTACTTGAGATATGTCTTTGGGTGCTTCTGTTTCGGTTTTGACATTCGGAACACCATATTTGGCGTTGATTTTCTCAACTATTTCGGCCAAATCATCGTCCGAGTCTAAATATTCACAGCTGACTGATTCAGTATTCTTCTTTTCCCTTTTAGGTTGGCAATCGTCAGCACTCGTTGAAGAATCTTTGTTGGTTGTATCCGAATGAGATGTGGCAGAGTTATCAGATTGTTTAGAACACATTGCTTTGTACAATTTCAATTTTTTTTGCAATACCGCGGATCTTGTCTTAGTATTCCCTTGATTCTGTGCACTGTGGTCTGATGTGGAAATATCGAGGCACTCGTTTTCAACACTTTTAGCTTGCTGTATTTTAACTTCATCTTCGCTTACTGTAACATTATTTTCCTTGACAGAACTAAGACTTTCCATCAAAGTATCCTTGTTAGTGATTTGAATGTTAATCATGGAATCGACTTCACCGTATGGTTCTTTCTGTATCTCCACGACTTGTCGATCGTCTATAACACTGGTATGGTTAATTTCCTCATTTTCTTTTTCTTTGGGAACAACTTTTAGAGGCAAATGCGTAATGTTGAATCCCGGTGGTCCGTAGGCTACCCGTTTTTCAGTTGCGATATCATATTGGGGGATCTTACTCGACCTGGTGGGTTTTTTTGCTGTAAATAAATATTACTTATATAAGAATAATGTATCGTTAAGTATTGTCTACAATTTTTTATAGAATTGAATGGTACAAATTGATGTGGCTTACAAAACAAAAATCACAGTTATGGTACTTGACGTAATTCCAGTTAAGTTCATACAAAACGATATTGTTCATTCCTAGACAGACTAATTAATATCATTACTTTACCCTGAATTAAATGAATTCACAGTCTTTTTAAAGGATTATAAATGTATGTGATTCTGTTAGATAAATGTAGAAATGGAAAAGATTTTCAAGATCTACCCTAAAGTATTTCCTACAAAAAAATATATAAAGAGCTCATGTGTAAAAGGAAACTAAATTATCTTACCTCTTTTCACAATATTCTCAGGACTGGTGATTTGATTGCTGCTTTCTGCTTTACTATAAGGTGTTTCTTCATATAATGTGTTCGGAAGTTTTTCAATTTCATTCTTGACATTATCTTCATAGGTAAACTTTTCAATTTCTCTCTTGTAAAGGTTGTCTTCAGTAGTTTTAATCTCTGATGTATTTAAAGGTCCATTCTCTGTTGTATTCAAATCGGTTTCATCATCATACACAGCATTGTTTTCCAAGAATCGTTTGGTCGCTAGGAGAATTTTTGACGGATCATTGTGGAAATTCTTTCGCTCTTTCATTACTACTCTACTCTGTTGTAGCTTAACAAACTCCAATTTCTTTTTTAGCATCGAAGGTTTATGGTCTTCCGGGCTATGTTTCAAATTCAAGCCTCTACCCATAGACTCTTCGTCGATATCTTTGCATCTGTCGAAATCTTTCATTTTCTTCTCCAACAAGTTGTCAATGGCTGCACCGCTCAATTGGCGATTGTGTTTCTCGAGATTTTGAGTTGTCAGAACTGTTTCGAAATCTTGTGCAGCGTGTAAGATGGCTGTCTGCTTCTTGACTTTACTGTCTCTCTCTTTCTCACTCTTATTGCGGTCACCTTTCTCTAAGTGTCTAATTACTTCTTTAGCTTTACTTATACTTAATTTTGTTTTCAGATTACCAATACTAAGTTCTTGATGAAAAAGGAATACATCGTAGAGAGCGAATCCAGAATCGATGAGAATTTTGGATAGATTTGACTTTGTGCCGTCTATAGTATGGATGATGAGCTCACCATATTTGTGAATGTTGTCATCGAATATGGATGTTCTGAAAGAATGGAAACAACAAGTTATTCAATTATAAAAACCTGAATTGAATGATTGTGCTCCTAAAGTGTATAATAGGGATTATGACTAACTTTAATTTTTGTCTATCAGGTAAATTATCAAAAATTATTGGACACATTTATTTTTTATTTTCTCACGTGATCAAATCATTGCAGTTATATGTACATATATTGATTTCAAATGTCGCATGACGTCACGTCTTCTTGGTAAAAATTTCGTCACAAAAAGTCATTTCTTTTGTCTGTGGCTTGATCCGTTATCCACAGAAATATTGCCAATGTCCTATAGTGAAAGAGACTTCAGAAATTCAAAGAAAAGGTGGACCACACAGTTTACAAAGTGGTCTGGCTTAAAAGAATGGTTGCAAGAGCAAAGAAATGGTGGGCAGACAATATAGTAGAATAAAACGACCTCTTTGACGACGAGTTGGTCGAGTGGTTTGTACGCCGGGTTTCAAAGTGTCGCCTTCTCAAGAGGTCCCGTGTTCGAATCCCGGTGGGGGGCAGATGTTTGTGTGATGAATACGAGCATTTGTACTCCAGTCATGAATGTTTAATATGTTTTTCTATATAAATATACTTATATATGTACAGTATATGCATTCTATCTGTTACCCTAGTATCCCATAACACAAGCTTTACAGTGCTTATTTTGGGGCTAGGCTAATTAGTGTGAGTGCTGAAAATATTTATTTATTATTATTATTTATTTAAAACAAGTTTCAACAGGTTAGATGCGATGTTTTGCATCCTTTGCAGGAATGCAAATTAATCGTCAGAACAATGATTTTTTATTTACTTTGTCGAGCTACCTTCAAAAGACTTTTATTTATATATTATATGGATATTTCATTGGAAGTATTTAAAACTTTATTGTATATGTGTAAATTTATTAACTAATTTAATAAATAAAGTATTTTATTTAATAGTTTTTTATAATTTCTAGTTTATTTATTTGATCCTAACTACCATAAAGAGTAATGTGCGTGAAAAACCTAAGCAACAAATATAATAGAAGTTGCAGGCAGGAACTGATATAGTCTCGGCACAAAAAGAGTGGACTGGATGACAATTAATAAGACACAAATTAAAACATAATGCTCTAAGGTACATGACGTATTAAAAATGCAAAACTTTTACTTTTCTACTTGTGTGAATACTTACTTATAGGCTACTAACCCTTAGTTATAAGTTATATTGTATACTAACATATGGATCTGTGTTGTCTGATAATAAATGATATTATTATTTATTATTATAATTAGCATATACACAAACCACATCCTTTATTTTTTCCTGTTCATTAAATTTCAAGAAAGATAAGCAAGAACTTTATGACATTCTTTTGTTTTAAGAGTAGATAAATAAAATAAAATAAATAAAATAAAAAAGCCTTTATTAAAAGCTACCAGTTTACAAAATTTGCATGAAAATTAGTTTTTTTTTTTCTTCTTTTGTTGTAAACGTAGCGTGTCAGTGACACAAGGCCTCCCCCAGCCTCTACAGGATGTCCAGCCGATACTCGAATCTTTGGAGAAATGCTGCTTCCAATCTTCGTCACTCAGATCTGTTTAGGGCTATTCTTCTCCAGTGAACTCCCACCGTCTGTTTAATCTCGTCTGCCCATCTAGCAACTTGCCGTCCCCTGCTTCTTTTTCCATCTCTGGGGTATCAGTTGGTAACAACTTTACTCCATTTTTCTGATTGGTTACGTGTCATGTGGCCTGTCCATCTCCATTTTTGTTGGTCTATTCGGGTCAGGATGTCAGTTACTTTGGTCTTCTGCCTGAGGTCTTCGTTTTTCCATCTATCTTTCTTTGTTATTCCTAACATACTCCTCTCCATAGCTCTTTGACAGTATTCGAGCTTATCTCGGTGTTGTTTTGTTAGTGACCAAGTTTCGCATCCATATGTCAGGCATGGCAGGATACAGGTATTAAATACTTTTCTCTTCAGTGATATGCTTAGGTCTCTAGCTTTGGTTATCTCCTTCAGACTCCAATATTTCTTCCATCCATTGGCTATCCGTGAGTTCACTTCTTTAGAAGTTTGATCTCTGGCTGAAATAATTTGACCAAGATAGATATATTCTTGCATAGCAATATTATCGACTTGAATAGCAATTTTAGATGAGTTGGTTAGAAGTTTAGTTTTATCAGGATTCATCTTTAGTCCAACTGTTAGGCTCTCTTTGGTTAATTCCTGAATCATTCTCTCCAGGAGCCTCGGGTCTTTTTCGAAGATCACAATATCGTCTGCGAACCATAGATGACTTAGCCTTCTTCCGTCTATCTTTAACCCATACTCATCCCAGTGGAGCTTGCGGAAAATATCTTCCAAAACAGCAGAAAAAAGTTTCGGTGACAGTGGATCCCCTTCTCTTACTCCTCTTTTTATGTCGATTTTTTTGCCTAGTGATTCTAATAATAATAATAATAATATTCTTTATTGTTATACACCATAGAAAAACACACAAGTAAATTAAAACATGATAAATAGAATGTACACAATATAGGCGGCCTTATTGCTAGGCAGCAACCTCTTCCAGGCAACCCATAAAAGAAAGATAAATAAATATGAAGGAGATAAGGAGGGGTGTTATAGAAAAAACATAATGATATCAATGACAGGAAAAACAGATATATCTAAGGAAGGAAAGAGAGGATGAAGTAAAAATTTAACATAATTGTTGGGATAGGAAATAACTCCGAACTTGATCCCTAAACGAATTCAGAGTGCGAGCCCTTCGAATGGTTTCTGGCAATGTGTTCCATAATTGTACTGAATGCACAGAGAAAGAACAGGAAAAGAAATCAGTAGAATGAATTGGAATTTCAAGAGATAGGTTAGAAGAAGATCGCAATGTGCGATGTGAAGTAGAAGTGAGAAACGAGAAGCATTCTTTTAAGTAATGAGGAGAAGTGGGTAAGAAAAGTACGGAGTAAAGAAGTGTAAGAGTGTGTAAGTCCCTGCGCCGGCGAATAGGGAGCCAGTTAAGTTTAGAACGGAATTGTGAGACGTGGTCATATTTACGAAGGTTGAAAATAAATCGGATACATAAGTTCTGCAGACGCTTCAGCTTATTTAAGAGTTCTTCAGAAAGATCTGTGTAACAGGCATCAGCGTAGTCAAGGATAGAAAGCAAAAGAGTCTGCGCCAGAGTAATTTTGGTTTTCTAACTTTATTTTTGCTGAACTGTTTTGGTAGATTTCTCTTAAAACCGCAATATATGTTCCGGATACTCCTTGTTTTGCTAAAGATGACCAGATAGATTGGTGGCTTACACTATCAAAGGCTTTTGAGTAGTCTATGAAAGCAATATATACAGATTTGTTATATTCGTTATATCGTTCCATGATCTGTTTAATAGTGTGAATGTGGTCAATTGTTGAATAATTTTTCCTGAATCCAGCTTGTTCTATAGGCTGATTCTCATCTAGTATCTGACTAATTCTATTTAATATTACCTTGGCAAAAACTTTATAAACATTGGACATGAGGCTTATAGGCCTATAGTTGTTAATGTCATCTTTGGGACCTTTTTTGTGTATAACTATTATGTTAGCTTCTGTCCATTGTATTGGTATGGTTTTATTATTTAATATTTTGTTGAAAATAGTAGTCAGAATTGGAGTTATTTCTTGGATTGTTCCTCTTAGTAATTCATTGGGAATTCTGTCTGGTCCTGGTGACTTTTCTAACCTTTGGCTTTCTATTGCTACTTCTATTTCTCTATTTAATAAAGGTGGTACATAGTTTTCGTCTTCTTCTGTGCCGTAGGATTCTTTGGATATCTTTGAGAAAGTTACATCAGAATACAGTTCTTGATAGAATTGGGTAGCTGCTTCAATAATATCTCTTCTTCTTAGCTTGATTTCATTTTGCTTGCCAATGTTTGAGATCCACTCTTTAGAGTAGATAAAATATTATTTTATTTGTTAAGGGAAATTCACATAAGGTAAAACCAGCTATCGCACATCACCTTAATCAAATCGCTTTAATAAGTGCTTATCAGTGATTATTGTTCACCTAGTACATCCGTGTATACAATTTCTTTGAAATACCATAGTTCTAAGTATTAGTAAGTATTCATTGTAAAGCTGTTGTTTTAAATAAAAAAAAAAGATAGTAGCGGCTTTCACCAAAAAGGGCACCTATCGCAAAAGCAGAAAACTATAAATGCACCAACTATTACTTTGTAATGGAATAAAATAAGCTTTATTATTATTATTACTATTTGATTAAAAGAAGCACAAGCTGTCATCAATAAATAAGAAAATTAAAACGTAAACTCAGTTTTTATTTAAAACAATGCAATATTTTATACCCGAACAACCAGGGTTTTAAATTTTTTGTCTAGTGGCTTGTGGCAATAGCCTATACGCTTGTGATACCAAAACTATCACTTTAAAAATTATGAAAAATCTCAAAATCCTAAAAATGAGCTTAAGAGGGGCAAGTTTTTTCATCACATAAGGATAATAACAATCAACAATCGAAACCATACGAGTACACATATGATAATTTCATGCCTACGTAAGATGTACCATATCATATTATTATCGTACTAGATTTGTTTTGTGATACATTTGTATTCTAATGTCAAATGAGAAGTTTTAAATAAAAATAATAATGTTCTGAAGTGAACATAATATTAATAATAGTTTTAAGATTGTTAGATTTTGTTATTTTATAACTTGAAGATTATATGTAAAATGTTATAAAGTTGCTTTCGAGAATATAGAATATATTAGGATAATATGAAAAAAAAGTGTGATTATATTCATCACTGACCTACTATTTTATTGTTATAAATTCGAAATATTAGTTTGCTGGATTAAGATCTGCAGTAGGAGACATGTAATTTTTTCAGTTGAGTTTAAAATGTTAGCGCCAATATGGATTTTCAAGTTAAGGGGCGAGTAGTGCAGTCCTGTCTCATATGTAAAAAATATAGTTGAAAAAAATTGTAAATAATTCACAAACAATTGTGAAGCATACGTAAAAATGTTGATATCATGTTTAATACAAGTTATTTATTAATTATAGTGATTATTTTAAAAAATACGATAATTTTGCTTCATTTAAGATAATTCTACGCTACTGGTACGATAGTTGC